TCAGGCAAGCAGCTGTGTAATTTCTGCCTGCAGATTCACCACTGTGATGTTCATTATCTGATTATYGCTACCTACAACCTTCCTAGCGCTACCGCGCGTTGTCTCCCAGGCTCTTGAATTAGAGAGATGTGTCCGACACAGAATTTGCAAGTAATTGCTGAGGCTCCCCTCAGTGAAAGATCTCTCAGGACGCTCTTGGAAAATGAATGTTCCTCCTCAAGCCAGTGTTTGCTTACTCCATTCCCCATCTTGTTAAATAATTATCAAGTAAAAATGTGTGCTTTGAAATGTGCGCATCATGTTTGGGACATGAAGGAACTGTGGATGGCAAGATTCTCAGTAGATCACTGCCAACAATGTATTTTATTCCACTCTCTCAAACATCTCCCAGGTTGCAGGATCTAATTGGAATGCACCCATCTTTGCATGSGATTCCCCATTCAGTGGCATTGTTGAGATGCCATCTAGAATGTGTAGTACTGCATGGGTCATATCCCTTTACATGATAACACATACCTATCTTTTTCTTCCTTTCAACTTCCTTTAAGCCGATTTTACAATTGGTATCAGGATGAATACAATTGCTGTCTTGCATCGAAAGTGCTGGCGCACACACACACACGTGCACACACACACACACACACACACACACACAAAAAAAAAAAAAAAAAAAGGAGGCCAGGATCAGCTAAATCCTTACCATCTTGGTTTGAATTTTGGGGTGTTTCAAGAGCAAGGCCCACTGACACAAAGCACATCCTGCCAGGTGTTTTCATCAAAGAAGACTTGCAGCACATCCCTTTCAAATCTCATGTATGAARTAAGTAGTTAACTAGTCCACTTTGATTATTCTGAGCCTTCACGGATAGAAGCAGATTTACAATATACAAAAAAGTAAYGTTCACAGTGGTAAATGTAAAGCCCATGGAGAGATTTTTTAAAATAACAAAATATATGTTTCCAATATTTAAAATACATTTGGTACACTCTATAGTACACACATAATATAAACCCTGATCCCAGTATGAGGCTTCAAATGTTTACAATGAACTGTAAATATTTATAGCAATATGATTATAACGGCGCTACTTGAKATTTACGCAGCCATAAGCAAGATCATAATCTGATCCATTGCCCTTTGCACAGGGATTTTATAATGAAGGGCTCAATCTGCTAGATCTTTATTCAGAGTTAACTGAAACAGACAAGCAAACAAATAAGAAAGTCGCTTATTGCCRTCAGATTTTGGCAGAAGGTTAATATGAAATAAGTTCATTTTCTGCTTAAAACAAATGCCCTTGTTTTTCATTCACAGTGCGTAGTTTGCTTTTGTTTCAGTTCATTCTCTTTCCTCAGATCCATGGTACTTTGTCTACTCAGACCCCATTTTATAGCCKTGGCTTAAAAAAACAGAATATGATGAAGGAAGAAATTAAGAGGCTTCTGTTTCTCATGTTCCCTGTACTATTGAGGGGTTATGGCTGATTTTAAATATGTGTGTGTCTTTAAGAATGGATTTCTCTGTTCTATGACAAATCTATTTTCCTTCTTCTTAATAAAATCTTCTCTTTTGTAAGCCAGAACAAATCCTGTGTTTCAGTATCTTTATCAGCATTTTGTAAAATGCTAGAAAACAGATTTCCAATTGTCACTTCTAGGCTTGGTTTGTTTTTCTTCAGCCCAAACTTCCCTTGGTTCGTTGTTTGTTTGCTTATGGATTTGTGCATCTCTAGCACATAAGTTATTCTGTCTGCTGCCTTGTGAAATATCCAAAGGAGGTTATTACTATCTGCAGGAGCAACTGCAAAGGGGAAATCCATTAAGGCAATGGCATAAAATCCCTCTGTTGGAAATACTCAGTTAGATTCACAAGGAAGCGTGTCATCTTCCATGTTTTATTTCTCTTATTCATTGAAAAAAGAAGCCATGGAAAGTATAAATGGAAAACTTGATCTTTATTCCAACTGGCATTATTTATTTTTTACAAGAGCAATGGAAAAAAAAGCTTTCTTTTTCTTATTTTACTGTTGGCTGTTGCTTTAATGTGATTTTCTTATATTTATTTTGCTTTCTTTTTCTGTTTCTTGCACTTATTCATGTTGTGGTGGTTGTTCCTCTCAGCTGTACCATTCATAGAGCATGTTGACAGAGCAAGTTCTTAATTCTTGTGTCCTGCGGCAGKTGACTTGATGTGAGTGAAAAGTTTAGTAAAAGGAGGTATGAACCAAACGTTTTCTTGATTTTCTACRTTCACATGTTGGCATCCATTCTGCTCATCAGCAAAGAAAGGATTCTCATGGTCTTTAGGCAGTAGTTCTTGGTGATGAACCCAAAGGGTAGGTGGTAGGTGGTGCTATCTCAGTATCACACTAGCAAAGCAAGTCTAAGATGCTGTATTGCTGGGGAGAAATGAATATTGTTTTATGATTTGTGTTAGACTAGTTTTTTGTTTGCATTTCTGTAGATTATCTCTTGAGAAAGCCACAGGAGGAGCGAATCACTTCAAAGGTGATACCAAGCATTCTGAAGCCTCATGCTTCCCTTCTTGGCTGTTTTACTTGTAAGGACTTAGATTCTTCTGCCTTCTAGGGGTTTTGTGTACATATGTAGAGATATATGCATACATATGTGCTTTACTTTCTAAAGTGAATTGTTATTTCCCTCAGGAGAGATGAAGTATACTCATTTCATGGAATAGTTTATTTTGAAGTAGTGGTGGATCCACTCTGAACGACAGCGGCCTTCATTAGTGTGAGAAGAAAGAGCTTCTCACAATGGAAGTATTAAAGAGCTGACTCAAAATTCATACAGCACTTTAGTGACAGAGCTGGGACCAATGTCTAGGTGTAGGATTTCCATTGAGGTGACCTGGCCACTGCAGAACTGTATCTCTCCATGGGTTCAGTCGCATGGGAGTTAATGAGGAAGAAATTGAAATGACAGAAGCAAAACGTGTCCTTGTTCACTATGGAGTGATCTACTGAGCTGGTCATCATAACTGAGGCTGGCCTTGTGCTTTTCTTAATCATGGAACAGAGCAGACCCCAGGGTCTCGAGCAAACCATGAGATCTAAACAGCAACTGCATGTAAATGAACAAGTCTTCAAAGGAAATACAGGGGAAGGCTGCTTGCTTTGTTTCTCATTCTGCTAAGAGGACCAGTTTCTAGCAAGAATGAGAAAAAATATATATTATAATGGCTCTGTCAGAAGCAATTTGTAACTAGTTGCAAAACCTGACAGGCCTGCAAATGCTGCAGCTCCAGGGACCTCTAGTGAGGGACCTCCGGGGATCTATCTCATCATGGATCTATCATCCCCATGTCTTTTACCAGGAACATTCATCTAGCTAGTGTATCCCATAAAGAAGGTGGAGCATAGTAAAGAAGGGGAAAGGTTTTCTATATACTTGATATACTGTGTACTTCAGAAAATGTATTGAACAGCTGTGTAAAATATATGTGGCAATATAAAAACCCTCTTTTTAAAAATATTTCAAAATTGGCCATTTTCCCTGTTATTTGGGATATATAGTATGTACTTGTATGTTTGACACAACATTCTGAATATGTTCTCCTATATTCAAACTATAATGAGTAAGATTCATCACAGGGAGAGCAACATTTTCCAGGTTAGCAATGCTAATGAATAAAATATATGACATCCCTGCATTGCTTGCTATTATTATTTGCTTTTGCAGTTTAACTACCCTGCAGAATTATTTYGTAGTGAGTTTCTGTGCTTGCAGCTAAGGTTCCTGGGCTACCTAATAGCAGCTTGGAGACCAATCTTGAGTAGAGCTGGAGTGTTGCTGTGTCTCACGGTGGGCAGATGTCTAGGTTAACCACGCTGCAGCAGTAATGGGATCAAGTTGACTTGTTTGGGCGATATTGCTTTTACCGGAGGCAGCTGCAGGGCAAGGGTGTAAGACGGTGGAATTTTCTGCATTAGCAAATAGCGTGGACTGTAGAGCAGAGCAGTTGTTGCTGGGGACCTGGTGTCCACCCMGTGTGTGATTCAAAGAGTTTCCCTTGCAAATTGAATGCMCATTAACAGTCAGAGAGCGTTAAGYGCTCCTGGAGCGCATCTTCCAGTTTAATTTCCCTCAAAAGGAGGCCAAATAGCACTCCCATAGATGAAGTCCAGCTAAGACCCTTCCACAACTGAGGCAAGCAGTAAACAGWAATAATTTAGAGGTGGTCCTTGAACCATATTTCTGATGCAAAATAAAAAGTTAATATGGGTTCATCAAACGTCACTAAGATAGTGGGCATGAGGGGATCATGGTTCAGCAGCTATTTGAAAAGAAAAAATACTCCAGTTACCTTAAAATTAGAGTCAACTGGATTGACTGGTGGGCGAGGGAGTGAAATGCATTCCTTGTGCGTTTATTCTGCTTAGTTAATGTCACCACTTCTGTTTTGCTACTAACTATTGCCAGTGTTTTGCTTTTCCCTTTTTGTGTGGATGAGGGCGGATGTGCTGGAAACCTCAGTGGGCGATTAAATGTGCCCCAGTTACAGTAAATGCAAACATGTTCTTTGTTGATTATTGCCAGCTTAAATATTGCAGACATTTTTGCAATTGGGTGGACACAACAGGAGGTAACGGTGCTTTGCAACCATTGTTCTAATGACGGATGATGAGTTTTATTCAGGGCAGTGAAATTTGGTGTGGACATCGGGTTCTCTGCCAGCACATCCTGTTACAGGACCGGGACCCTTGATAATAAATGATTCATGTTCTTGGAATTAATGTCTGCAGTGGGAATAACAGAGAAGTGGAGATAATAGTAATATATTACCTTGACCACAGGAGTGCATTGAAGGATAATTGAATAATGGACCAAATTCTTTTCTCATGTAACTGCAGTGGTTTGACCAGCATGATCCTGCTTTTATGTTATTAAAACGCATAAAAAAAACTTATAAATCTGATTTTGCTATTGTTATTAATGATTGTCTTATTAAGCCAGAAGTATGGAAGTCTGTTTTGCTTCAGATAAAAGTTGGAAGCTTCCCCAAACTTGGGCCTAAAATGCTGATGAGCAACCGCAAGAGGATGAGGCTTTTGCAAGATCTTACCACTATTGCTTACCTCTGGACCAGGCAGGAAAGTGCAAGAAAGGGACTTCCTTAAGGATTTTCTGTGCATCTGCTTTCAGGTAAGACATAGTCCAGGGAGCTTAAAAAAACGTATTTTGTACAGCAGTCATGTCAATGTCTCGTAAGCATATTCTGTCACCTTTCCACCTATTGACTTGCACCTGATCTGTAAGGACTCTCTGACTGCTCTTTGATTCCTCGTAGAAACATACTAATGAGAGTAAATGGCTTTTGGAACAAGCTAGTTAGGCAGTAGTGGCTTTACCATCTCTTGAACTAACTCCAAGGACAGGAATAGCTGGCTGACATTTGATGATGACTGATTTTCAGGTGGTCAGAAGCTGTAATGGTCCCTTTGGCATTAAAACCCTGGAATCTGGAAAGAGAAGCAGATCTTGGCCTTTTAAAACCACAGAGTTGTGTTTCTGAGCTGGCGAACGGTTTAAGCTTGCTTGAGTTTTTTCTTTATTATTAGCTTTGTTGAGGGTGCCTTCAAGATCCTCCGTGACCTTCTGCAGTGCTGCTGCTTTTCATCTTGGCTGTTGTCATTCCAGCCTCGCTGACACGTGTTAATGCAGAGGCCTGGGCTGTGCACGCACTGGAATCCTTCCACTGGCACAAAGAGGAGCATAAAAATTCAGGTAGAAGTGACAAGGGGTTGTGCAGGGGATGGGTGATGGCTGCTTTGGGCCACCAAAATTTTTGCATGGAAGATTTTGCCAACAGAGCTTTGATRGGTGCTAGGAAAGTGAATGTTGCTGGACTTTTCTCTGCATTGTTTCTTCAAATGTTCGCCTGTGAAAGTGCTGAGAAAATTATATATTATCTGTTACCAACACGACTTCTTGAACAAGAACAAAACCTTGCTCACTGTAGAGCTCTGTTGCCTATTAACAGCTTTTGCTTTAATTAGATAGGCAAAAGRGAGCATGGCCAGGGAGCCTTGCGTGGAGCTGGTGCGTGATGACCACTCACATTGAGACCTTGTGTGATGACCACTCACATTGAGACCTGTCCCAAYGCTGCCGTTGGGACAGGGAGGGACAAAGTTTTGCTAGTGCAGTGGAAGGAGGAACATTGAAACCTGTCAGATGTGCCCTCTTGAGGCAGCCACGCAATGAAGGTGTCTGACGCTGAGGACAGATATGATCTGGAGGTGACAAATTAAAGTGTTTTAATCCAATTTATCCAGAAACCGTCTGCTAAACTGAAGTTGGCAAGGTCACATCTGTTCACATTGGCACCATCTCTGCCTGACCTAGAGCTGACCCGCTTGAATTTACAGGCAAAATGAGAGGGACAAGGGGAAGAGGAGGGTGGAAGTGGGGGACAGGGAAGGGGAGCAGTTCTGTGATCGGGAATAGCGAGCAACAAGTGAAGGAAAGGTAAATGCTGCCTGTTCCCCCAGCTATGGCCAATCATTAAAGATCTGTAATAGCAACTTTATTAGCTGTCAGATCAGAACAACTGCAGTAAATAGTCTGAGGGGACACTCAGGGAAAGCAAATAATAATAACCAACACTCTAAGTCTTCCAGCTTGTGGTGGGTGCAGGGGGAGGAAGCTGCAGTTAAATTCTTACGCTCACTGCCCAGCAAACAAGGTCACCAAGAAACAGTGTGAAGTGACAATGGCACAGCAGGAACTTTGTCTTCGTGTGACGCCCTCTCCTCTGGCACAGACTATTCAGTGCCAAATCCTGAGCCTACACAGCCCTACACACCTCACTAATAGCCCAACGGCCCAATTTCCCAGCTTCTTATGTTGTATTATACAGCAGTGTCTGAATTCAAGCTTTATTAGCAAAGCTTTTCTCTTCTAGGCAAACATACAGAATAGTTGAGCTCAGACTTGGCATGCAAATATCCGCTTTTGTTGGAGCAGAGATTTTTACAGATTTTCCTTCCTTTGGGGATTTCTAATGCCTTTTTGCTCTCCTCCCACTGGAAATATTGATGTWCTTTAAACCACAGTATTACAGCCTGCTATTCCTGCTATGTAGGCAAGTCTTCAGCAATCAGGAAACTGGGAAGCACCTGCCAGATTATTTATAATCGAGAGATTCCTTTGGGTTGCCTGTGGGAAGGACATCTCCATGTGAATAAGCTGTGGGCTGATGCAGGAACCGAATTGTCTCAGCGATGYGAGTTGTAGCTGTGCTGGTATCATCAAAACTGGTGAATACATTGCAGTGAGTCACCTTCTAGGCTTATTTAGGCTCAGGTTGTTAAAAGCAGACCATCAGACTTTGCTTGAGAAGACTCATGTAGGCGCAAAATCAAAAATACTGATGTAAATAATCCATAAGCCTGGTACTAGATAGCCTGACAGCCRCACTCTGTGCTAGCTTCAGAGTCTGGATGTTATTTCATCCTTGAGCGTGCTGCAGCCGTTTATTCTGAGCCCTTTCCTCCCCRTCTCCCTTGGCATGATCAGGATGGTTGTACCTGTCTTCCACGTTGGATGCTGTTTGGTGTAGAGCTTAGAACAAATAGGAACTAAAGAAACGGTATGTACGTACCAGAAGCACATTAACATGATTTGAGTTGTTATGTATGAACCATAAGCCTCTGGACATGTTATCTTTATTTAAAACTTCCCCTTACCTATTACAAAGGCTCCTCTAGAACACAAGCTCCTTAGTTTATGTTTCATCAGTTCATTCAGTGGGTGTTATGGGAGCTGCAGGTTTAAAACTCTCTCCAGACTTTTTGCTGCTGATCAGCGCCTAAGGTCAGTCTACCAAGACCCTTCCTCTATGCCTGTGCCTGTGTGTACGCACAGGTGTGTGCATTTGAAGAGCTGGTCCAGAGATATCCTAGTGTTTCCAGGCTCATCAGGTCAAGAAGCTGCACTAAGAGACCTAATTCTGCTTGCTTAGCTGGTTCCTGACCTTGCTCAACACCTGTTGCTGGTGGGTTCTGCCCAAGGCTGAGAGCAGGCTGAGTTGCAGAGTCTTTGCCCTGGACAGAAATGGGAAGAATCCCRGAGTAGGCTGGTTGCTGGTGATGGTTGGGTGGCAGCGGGTTCTCATAGAGTTATCACCCCTTCTCAGAACACATGAAAGCAGAGACACTGGTACCCTTAGGGGAACCATGTTACTGTCCCTGTGGTGCATGGGGAACAAAGTAGAGACGTTGGGATAAACCACTGATTCGTTTCAGATTGATAGTGAAGCTYGTGAGATGGTTTTTCTAGAGGTGAGGCTCTTGGAAACACCACTGTTTGCCAAGCCCAGAGGAACAGCAATTATTTTCTTGCATTATTGCTTTGGCACCGCCGTGTGCCCCAGGCAGAACTTCCCCATCGACAGCTGAGCATTGAATTCCCAACGTATTCTCCCTCTCAATCTCCTGCCAACATAAGCAGTGGATGAATTATAAGTAAAAGATTCGATTGCCCTAGAAATTTGAGTCAAGGTGTGCTCTTATTCTAGGATATGCTACACACTTCCAGTGTGACCTGAGCCAAATCACTGAGTTTCTCTTCTATATTTAGGCTGCTAAATTCTTTTGAGTTACGAATTGACTGTTTAATGTGTTCATGCCTAAGTCTTAAAATTATGGGGAACTCATCTCAAAAAGGGCCTTAAGGCACAACTGTTACATACATCAATAATAGATATGTATTTTTACAAGCAATCTGGCCATTAAAGGTTTATTACATGCCAACAATGTATCAATGCCTATAACTAACTGTTTATAAGGCAGTGAAAAGCCCCAGGATATTTTGGATTTGGCGTTGAGCCCTGGTTTGACTTCAACCAAAAGAAGAAAAAAATAATAAAAAAAAAAAAAAGGAGGAGGAAATAAGCCTGTAAATATGTTGTGAGCAGCCTAGGTAAAATGAACGAGACAATTTCGTTTCATCTCAGGCTGAGCCTGAGACGATGGCAGTGTTGGGGGAGAGCTGCTACCACCTCTCTGCTGGCAATTGTTTATGGTATATAGCGATGTTATTAATTCGTTGTTTCATTCATGAGGGTTTAACAGCACAGCAGTGCCAGGCTAGGATGCTATAAAAGATCTCCAGGGCCCTGTGAAAGAGCAGGGGGAGGCAGCAGCGCTAGTGTTGTTAGAAAGGATGAAACAATTGCTCTTCCTCGCGTCTCCCGGGAGGGCTCCAGCGGGGACACGGGCAGCCCATAGCAAATTTGAAAAAGGCTCCTGTAAGCACGTGGTGTCTTCCCAAGTCCACACGCACTAACGCAGTTAGGAGGTCTCGTGTGATCACGATGTGTGCGCAGATGGTGACAGTAAACGTATGGGAGAAGTGTGGCAACAGATGAAATGAATGTCATCAGTGTGATTCCAGTGGCGATAATGGGAAATGAGACAAAAAAACGATTCCAAAAGAGCTGTGACATGAAATCATTTGGGAGTGATTACAATGGAAATACAACTAATTTAGAGAAGTAATTATCAAATAGGTTTCACACCATCGAAAAAGCAGCCTGGAAGCCATTAGCAACACACCCTGTGGTTTGGTTCACAAAGGAGATTAGTGGGACTGGTTCTAGAAGGCAACACAGGTAAATGAATGAACAGTCTTCAAGCAGGAACGTGCTGCACGACAGATACTGCAGAGTTGCACATCTTCAGCCCTCCTATAACCATCTGTGGCTACAGAACTGCTGGGAGGAGCAACTGAGGTCTCCCCTGAAGCTGCTTATGTTGCATAAGGTCTTGTTCTTCTTTTCCTAGTGCTATAGGAGGCACTACTGTTCTTATCCCACCCATGGCTTACAAGGCCATGGTGATCTGCATTGTCACCCTGRGGCTGGTGCTCTTCGGATGTGGGTGTCCCTGGCCAGGCCAGGCCTCCTCCACTGCTCCACGTTCCTCTTCAGAGCTGTCAGTCTAGCTCTTTTACCCGCACTAAATTCACATAAAAATGTTACTAAATATACCATATGTGGATGCCATTCATGATAAACAGGGGCTCTGATTTCATCTGCTTTGAATTACATTTGCTTATGATTACCTGAACAGACTGTGTTTGTGCTGGCTTCCTCTGCCTGTTATTGGCAGCCGTCTCTGAGTTTCCTTTCCAGTTGAATCTGAGTTTTACAAACCAACTTTTCAGAGATTTGGTAGTTTCTGTGCTTGTTCTGGCTTTCCGAGTCTGTTTCCCTTCCTTTTTAATGTACTGCTCCCTCTTTGGTGTCTGCCTTCTGTGGGGCAGGTTTTTAAACCAGCCTTTTAAACCCAAGCACACTTCTGTGCTTGGACACAAACACTTTGGGGAGGAAAACAGGGTTAATGCAGTAGTTTATTTCGCAGCAAACCATCTGGTCACATTTTGAGGTGATTTAGAAGAAGTTTTTTTGTTGAAACTGTGTTGTTTGTAGCTGTATTAGTCTAAGGGTGTAGATAAGCTTTTGTTAGACTAGTGTAGCAGAGCAGACATAAGTGGCAGACTTGAGAGCTATGTACAATTTGAGAAATCATCCGAGTTTTGTTAGCTGAGTAATACTATCTCCATGGGAAAACGTAGCAGGTGGGGAAGAGGGAGTGAGAACAGGGAAGGGAAAGGTGAAGCAGTAATGATCTCCTAGGAGATCAGCAGAGATCAGCATCGCTGCGCAGGCAGTCTGGGAAAGGCAGGATCAGGCACCACAGAACCAGGAT